AGGAGCCAGTCAACGCATGACCACGTGATGTGGTTGAAGGATGAACGGCGCTAGTCAGATTAGCCACATGAAGGGTGGGAGAGAGCCAGAGGCGGTATTTTTCTGCAAGCCTGTTTTCGATACCGACTGGACTATGGGGAAAGTATTCAAGCTCTTTTAACCTGTACGGTCTCTTGGCTGGCGGGGCCTTTCAGGTGAGGTTATCATCAGTTTCCCTGCTGTCAAGTTTGCTTGAGCAAAATGTACGGCAGTTTATCCCAGGTTTACGGATATGCAATACATATATTGTATTAATTGTACTTTGCTATCCTTCTGTACACGTATTGTCCTACTATAATGACAGTTCCAGAAGACAGATGATCATCCCGTCTGACCAGAGACAGCGGAATTCGTGTTCCAGGATGTGTCTTTGAGTTCACAAGAGCACTTAAGGCGTTATTAACCGTTCACTGCATATCTCTGAAAATTCCAGCATGTAGAATACACGCCCACCGTCCAAGAACTAGTTCTATTCGAGAAGACCAAGTAGGATGCGAATGTAGGTCACTTGACATTCTATTTGCTCACGCTGCGCCGCAGTGTATCTGACCCTGTTAAGTCGCGTGAACATGTTTCAAAAATAACTCGCCGGCTGCAACACCAGCTATGTGGACTGCAACCCCACCGCCGCAAGATTCTTCAGGTGAACACACTCCAGAGTGATGTGATCAACTTACTGTCAGCCTTACTAACCGCGTACTTGTCATACAGTGGTTGTAGCTGCGACAGTTTCGTTCACCGATGATTCGGGGAGGTGGGGTAGGTAGCTGTGCATTGCAGGCGGGAGCTGATAAATTGGTGCATAAATCCAGCACTGTCAGTGGGCTGTCAAGTGAAGGGGGTTGGTTGGAAAAGGAGCTATGCATTGAAGGCAATAGCTTGGATGCACGAAGGCCAATGAGGGCGCGACTGGGCCATGTCTGACAATCTCTCTAGCCATTGGTGTGGCCCGTCTCGGGGTCCCCATCCAGGAAGACGGCAGTGACCAGCGCAGCTGAGTTTGCTGGTAATGGCTTTTATCCTCCGTTGCCAAGCCATTGTTTGACCACCCCCGGCTCTCTCTCATCCTTCACGTGGTTGTGGGAAAAGAGCCCTTCGAGGAAGTCGGTCGACTGGCATACGCGCAATCTATGCAGTATGATCAGTTCATCTATCGAAGGCGAGTTATTTCTCCAGAATACCATTTGACGAACTTCAGCATTGCTGATGCGGTGATCTCACCAGATTCGGGAAGTGCTCTGAAGACATTGATGGTCAAACACTGCAAGTATTTTAATGTCCTTAGCGCGCAGCGGCCAGGTTTCTGACCCACACCGCAGCATTGTAAACTTGACCCCTGACAGAGAGGCTGATGTAACGCCTACGCCACAGGTGACGCAGGCTCACAAAAGCTGCTCTGGCCTTCCCAATCCTGATGAAAACATCATCTTTCGCGAGACCACCAGGACTGATACAGCTGCCCAGGTAAACAAATTTGTCTACAAGCAAACCTAAATAGCTTCCTCAGCTAAAAGATTTATTTTTACACCTCCAGATGAAAGATAACTTCCACAAGTCGAGACGTGTCGTAGACTTTACTACTGCATAAGCTCTACCCCCATTGAACGTACTGTTGGCAGTGATAGCTGGAATGCATTTGTTGGCGGTTGACCACGAGACTGTCGATAAGTCCACCGAGTTTGGGAATACACTTGAGAAACGCGCAATCGTGCTTGCGTTTAAATAGTTTGTGATGTGATTGGCTGTTCACAAGTCATCTTACTCAGAGTCTGATTGGCCCGTTGGCGATCCGTTTTGCATCGTAATCGCGAAAGGACCAACCGGACTTCAGTTAGGGTAATTTGTGAGCATCCAATCACGTTAGGGATCAAGACGGGAACTACTCAACCAATGCCAAACTTTTGCCAAGCTCGGCGAACCAGTCAACAGCCGCCTAAAATGAAATACAATAAAAATACTTCAAGAGGAGACCACACTGGGTCAGAGTGGACCAGTGACCCCTCTTTGAAAGAATGACTCCGTCCGGGATTGTTCGCTTCGTGCTGCGGGGATCTTATATCGGAGTATCCAGCAGTTTGTCAAAGGACCAAAAATACAACAGGAATCCCAAACGAGGCTGACAGGAGCGCACAAACAGAATTCACTGGATTTTCAGCATACATAGTTCTCAAGTAAGATGAAGGTTAGTCAAGGGACAAACCTGAACAAAATATGGCTGACGAAAAAAAGAATGCGGCCTCACTCACAATCGCCTTGCAGGATCCAGGATCAGGTCACCGTCCAGACCAAAAATGATGAAAAGCACGACACCTTGACCGAAATTGAATGTACCATCGAGGAACTCGAGAACCAGGTAGACACCCGATGGCGCATCACGAACCAGACGCCAAACGCATAAACATATACCCTATATGGTACGAGAAACGTGGGAATGCAAAATGAACGAGTGTGACAGTCGCGTAAGTTTTGTTGTAAGTAACCGGTTTTTTGTTTTGATTGTCGGCCCTACTGATGTCTCATCTGCGGACGGTTGGACGGGAGACTCATCTGGAACCCCGTTGAATCTCTCGTTTATGATGTTTTTAAGCAACTGAATGCACTGCTATCGGACGCCTCATGCTTCAGTTGGTACGATATTCGAGATATAGTGACACATGTATAAACGCAATACACTACTCAGCAGATTGATGTCGAAGAGTTCTCAGCATTACTTATCTTCACATCGGCTATCTGTTTTGGGGGGAGGGGGGAGCTAGCTGCCTGCCCAGAATCGCGACTGTCTACACAAGGCAGTCAATCCAATGTTTGTTCCAGTAATGCAGGCCGATTACAGCCTGCAGGACACTCACCAATGACAGAAACGTTCTCTCGAAATATGCGGGATCTATAGTGTAGCCAATCCCACCTGGAAAGGTAACTTTAGATCGGTCTCTAGAGGTGGCATCTTCAGAACGAGGAAACAGTGCCCATAGTCTGTCTGAATGAAAGTTGTTTTTTCCAAACTGAGTGTAGCATACACGCGGCTCGTGCGAATCAGCACGCCAGAACAGCTTTCAGAATCGCTCAGAGTGTAGCCCTAAAACGGTGATGGGTGAAGCGACAAAACGTCTAGAAGCTGTCCAGAGGGGCCATCTCAAGCTCAACAGGACAACCTGACGGTGTTCTATCAACCGGTGTCCGTTGGCTGTGCATCATGCAAAAAATTCAAACGATGTGATGTATGAAAGACACTCGGTGTCTACACTCGAAAAAATACATGTTAAATAATCAGTTGTGTTTCACACCCGTGTTGAAAGTTATGCTTCACTGGACTAATCAATCTGTTTAGAGAATTCGCCATGCAATCGGAAATTTTTACCCTACGTGCTGTCCGTTTGAGTTGATGCGTCTGTCCAGCCAAAGAGTGAGGCGACGATAAAAGTCGTTGCACCCCGCAGGCTCAACATGGGACGAGTGAGGTATGAACTGCGGAGATGAGGAAATTCACTGATGGGCCTGTGTGAACCAACAAATATTACTTCCTACTGATGTCGTTGACAGTAGTTAAAAGTAATCCTAACGTTTCATGGGTAGAACCGCAGCCCCGATGTAGGGGTCTCAAAGTTTGGGTGTGAGGTGCCCTCTAGGATAAAGTAGATCCACCTTACTGGACATAACCAGCTATTGTTTTTCACTGTTTTCAAGGCCAAATGGAACCTCATTTTGACATGTTCTATGAGTAAACTCACACGGCCAAGAGTCATGTCAGGTTGGTTTTCAAGCCTCACCAATCATTGACAGGATACACTCCGACGGCAAAATTTTGCCTTCTCTTCAACATGGACCCTTCTATTGTCTCCTCCTTTTGCAGCTTGTTTGGTGAGGTCTAAGACGTCTAACACACGAACGCACTCACCAGGACATCGTATTCGATCGAACCATCCAGGCGTTTCCATCGTAAAAAAACGGTCACCAGTAAGCACGCCCAGAGTGTGTACCCTTTCCACGTATCCCACGTTCGGTGATTAAGGTGTTCTTACACGTAAACACGCGAAATCTACGAAGCATAGTGTTGGAGCCCGCGCAAACTCTAAAGGCCATCTGTATTTGCCTCATTTAGTACTTGAAATATCGCATCAACCTCTGATGCCCGCTGCAAAGAAATCCACGTTCGAAACATCCCCTTTGCCTCACGCCATCACAAATGTTACGAAGGAAGGATAGCCTGGCTATTGTGAGATGTAGAGGGCCGCCCGACACACACTAGTAATGAACCAATCACAATCAAGTGAATCCGAACAGCCAATCCAAGATTCGGAATGGCGTCCAGGGCGGTTATTTGTACACCAATAGAAACGTAGTAATTTGGTTCACAAAATGAGTTTCCAGGAGCGAACCAGGGCTGGTACTTGATCAATCTCCGAAGTCTTCATCCCGATTGGACGACTATTTCAGGTGCGGGAAGTGAGACCAGCTGGTCCGTCTTCGGCAGGTTGCTACTCACAAAAACCATCTGAAATGTTGAGGTATTCCTCTAATGTTCTCATCGGACCCAATGAACATTTCGGAGAGGTTGGATGTGAAACAGTTCTTCTTCAAGCGTTCCCTGAAGACAAAGACCACGTTTCTGACTAACGAAGGATCGAAGTACCGCAGGCAAAACTGATTTCACCACGATATGAATTGCCGGCGAAGGACAGTCTGTAGTTCGAGACTCCAGTATTGATTTCATATATGATCCAGACCAGTTGAACCTAAGCGATTTAGCAGGCAAAAGAAGGTATTCGGTTCGACTGCAAAGCCAGTTTCGATGCAACCCAAACTGTTGGTGAGGCACGCACCAACCGCACAAAGGAATCAACTTGGTTGGCTTGTAACTGAGTCCGCGAACTCTAGATTTGCCTGCGAAGAAAATTTGTCTGAGGGGCATTTAAACTCCCGAGGTGTCACAAGTAGGCGGGTTGGAAGCGTCCACGAGCGTGAAGTTCGTGAATAACGGAGAGGAATGTTTAACGAGGCGGTAGCGGACCCGTAGATGACTTGGAGTTAATTCATACTGTTAGGCGGAATTCCACACGGATCCCGCCTTACCGCTCGCTCTCAGGTGCTGCAGCAGCAAAGAAGCCCATCCCACGCCAGATTGGCCAAACATTCGGGACGCTTGCCGGTCCGGCATCAAGTCGAGATCTGATTGGTCGAAAGTCTGGACCCAACAGCCAATCACGACCCAGTATAGACCGAATGCCGGTTGCCAACGGCGCATACAGAACTCGTCAGAATTTCCAGAAAGCTAATGCCACCTACGATATATATATACATATATATACATATATGAAGTGCTGTACAAGTGTTCCTGACTTCGTTTTGGGCGCTAATATACCTTGTGCACCTTTGGTGGTTATTTTGACGTGAATGTTAGCTTGGGAGGTTCAGACCGAAAACTAAGCTGAGAAAAATATCGTTACTAAAATACTGGAGTAACTGAAAAGGATATTACTGACTCTCAATCTGATACTTGATTCCACAGCAAAGCAGGAATATAGTTATATCCACATTTCTACACGATGAGGTGTGCAAAGAACACTCAAATGAATAACACGGCAGCTACAAATCGGATCGGTTGTGTGTACTGTCCAAAACATGATGTAGTGCAGGGAACCAGTGAAGTTTTTCGCGGAAGAAAATCAACAAATGTGCCATAGACATTGGTGAACTAGAAGTTTAAAATCACGGGGATATTTGAGCATCGCGCCGAGTAGTTACCATGAAAATTTCGGAATATGAAGCGTTTAAAGGGCATGTTCCTGTCAAAACAAAGGATCGTTGGGAAAAGCGGTTGACTGGTGGAAACAGACGGAAAATCAGGGAAAATCAACCATAAACGAGAGATTCAGTAGAGTCTCTCGTGAAAACCAAGTTAATTTGCAAATGAATGTATCTGTCGAAATCAGTCCAATGTGGGTTCAAACAGAACATAAGGTTGACGGAAACTCGGGGACTGCGCCTACCTGATGAGCCCCAAGAACGGCGAAACCGGTCGTGGGCTGTCGAAGAGTTTTCAGCAACCTAATGAGTAGTTTCTTTTATGAAAATCAAGGCCATCAGGGACCGAAACTTACAAAGAACATGGTTGTCAGAAGCAAGAACAACAGCACCAGGTGCCGCGTATGTTGAAACTCCAGGTCGTCCAGGGAATTGGCAAC